AGGAGCTCTGGTCGAGCCCTAAACTCAGCATTTGGCGGCTCAAACGCACTTTTGAGCCGGATCTTGAAGGATTCGAGCAACTCAAAAGCATATGAATCGCTCATCTCCAGCCCTAAGGCCCAAGTCTTGGCACGTCCTGCCAAGTGGGATTGAGCAAATGTTAATTTCATTTGATCATCGTCGATACGACGTGCCTCTATGGCTCTGTCGAGTTCGACGAACCATAATAACAGGGAGTCTTCTTTGACTCCTCTGTACTTGGGGATATCAACCCTTAAAGATGTCAGGAAGACATTCATTCGTCGTCCCGCCCACAACAGCATTGAATTGCGGCTGTCTCAGCAGCCTAGTCTGTTGAGCACCGAGTTCTCTCAACTGCTCGGCCTGTTGAGAGCCTTGATGGTAAAACAATGCTAATTTCTTCCGTTCAGCGACAAGTTTATGTTGAAGGACACTGGCGTAGCGGCATGTTGTTGATCTCTGTCAAGAGATTCCAACATAGTGGTAACACCGATGTCGCCCACGGTAGAGCTCATTCGCCCTACCGCGGCCCATTCGAGTTCACTCAAATGGGCGAAGCCTTCACGTGTGACGTGATTTTCATCTTCCTCACCCACCATGTTCATGTTAGATAAGATGAGTGGTCGCTGAAAGGACTACAAAGTGCTACAAAGTGCTACCAGGTGAAAGGGGGCACACATTGTGTCGACACGACACAAGGCGAGGTGCACCCGACGTGACGTGCACGTGCGAGGAAGCGCAAGCAAGTAGCTGAAGCCGAAGACTTTCGTACAAGTAAAATTAGAACTGGTATTTAATATAGTTATGTTTTCCTAACTAAAACATATTTGACTTGTTCTAACTATAATAAACTACCATCTCTTATGTGGGACTCGTGCTCACCGCCCATTGCGCGAGTCTAGCAGCTATTGGTGTTTAATCTGGTTGATGTAACGTGTACATCAACCGAGTGGAGCGCCCACGAATATTACCCTTGGGGATAATATTCTGACAACGTCACCTCTTCGAGTGATGTTAATTTTAGTATTATCTAAAATAGATAATACGAAAAAATTACTCTTTCTTATCAATTTTTTTTAACGCGCTCACCTTGTTAGAGTACGTGTTTGTCCGTGCCTGTCTTGACAAAAACGTCGCAAACGAGTCGTTGCCACTGCCGATGGTTTAGGTAAATCTGTGGGAAAGAGGGCATTCTGGTCATGACAGTTTCATGGTGTAACGATAGGTCAGAGTCAGGGCGATTAGCGCCAGCCATTATTTATGAGCATAAGTGCAGATAGCGTGCGAGGCAAACGACTGGAGCATATTGATAGCTAGCGATAAGACAGGAAATTGCAAGTGATAGACAGAATCTTATCATCTAATTCTTCCTTACGTGCTTCCAGTTTTACAGGTTACGAGCCTAATGGCTGGGACCACGAACGCAGCTCAAAATTCACCAGGAGGTGTAGCGAGTGCACCCTCAACGGCGCACGTTCACGCAATTGTTGAAGAAATGCCCGCTAAGGAAAGAAGCAGAGCTACCGACGATAAAATCCTCGCAGCGCTTGCCGACGTCACTAGCCGCTTGGCGAGTCTCGAGTCGTATGAGAGGGTGAGCGACGAGGATGAGCGGATACTCGGAGCTGTGGAGAGCGGCATGTTAGCATCGAAGGTGGACGCGAAAATGTGCGGCCGGTCGATGACGATTGACGCGCTTGGAGATGCGGAAGAGAAGCCACCAGCGGCGCACGCTACCAGCGCGCAGCGGAACTCGGTGCGTCGCGCTTTGCGTCACTTAAGCAGCCGCAGCATCGCGCGACGATGTACGCAGATTCACCGCAGCCTCAATAGATCGCTCCGCCGCAATCGTACGCGCGCCCAGGCCTCAATGGTCACGGAATGATAAGTGCGTCGCAGCGTAAGCTCAACATCAGAAAGATCGACGGAAGTGAACTATACAAAGGGCTCGGCAGCGATTTCTTTGACTGGGGACGCACCTTCTTGCACGCAGTGAGCTTGGCGGAAGCGTCTTGTGAGTTCGCTTGTAAGGAGGGTGTTAAAGCTGACTTGCTCGGGCATTTCCTGTCCTTCACGGGGGAGCGCTACTACCACAAACAGGTCGATACCTAGTGGACGCAGCGGCCGACGCTCGAACACGTGATGGAGCAGCTACTCGCGACCTTCAAGACAACAATCACGGCGAATCAGGCGATGAAGCTGTTCTTGTCAAAGAAAGAGGCGAGACGCACCTGGCCTGAGCACTACCTCTACATGGTCGCGGTTAGCGACGCGCGTGGCGGAAAAGATTTGCTCGTCCTCGACAACATCGTGCATCACGCGTCGCCGTAATTGATGACGTGATGAGAGCAAAGTACGACTCTTGTCGGGTCGACTACCTGCGTCAGGCAGGGGAACTTTCGCACTTTGCGCAGTCCATCGAGCTCGGTAGCGGCGCAGTCGGCCGCGAGGTGATTGATGCACACGTCGCGACGAAAGACACGCGGACGTGCTACCACTGTGGAAAAGTAGATCATGTGAAGCGTTTCTGCCCATCGAAGGAAACCGGTGGCGGCGAGAAGCCAAGCGGCGATATTAGGAGCGGCGACATGCTGCTCGCATTGACCGAGAATAAGATAGGTGGTGCTGAGAGTGCCAATATGCCTCTTGCGTCGACCAAGAGGCATGCGCGCTAAAAAAAGTATCGCCGCGGTAGAAAGAAGACCGAGCTCTTCTTAGCGGTCGGTGACGCCAACGCGGGTGATTGTGACGACTAATTCATTGACAGCGGCGCGAGCCACCACCTCGTGAGCGACTCAAAGCTACTTGTTGACTCGACATTGTACAGCGATGAGATCGCCATGGCAGACGCCGAGTCGCTGCGACTGACGAGATGCGGCACTGTCCGAATGCAAGTGGTGACAGGAGGCGCCGAGAAGACTTTGCTTCTCACGGAAGTCTACCTGGATCCATGTCTGGCGAAGAACATCGTGTCGTACGGCAAGTTGGAGTAGAAAGGTTTTACGCTCATCTATGACGGAGAACGGCGCACTCTAACTCGACGCAGCAATGGCATGATCGCTTTCGACATAGCGATGGAGAGTAACGTGCTCTATGTGCAAAGAACTTCCGCGATACGTCAGAGTGGCGAGCATGACGCCATCATGGCGGTTCCCGAGGCCGACGACGTGACCGACATTGCGGGCGATGTGCAAGAAGAGACTTTGTTGCACTTTTACCAGCGAGTCGGCCATGTCGCGTTCGACACGATCGAACGCATGGCAAAAGATTTAGCATTGGGTATACGGCTCACCAGCAACAGGCGTGCAGCGTGCGTATCCTGCATGGAGGAAAAGCAGACACGAAACACGCGCAGCAGCAGCAGGACAGCGGCATGAACTCGCCGATCGATCGGATTGGCGGCGTCATCTGCTCGGACTTAAAAGGTCCGATGACGCCGCAGGATTGGCTACGCAACCGCTGTTTGGTTAATTTTGTGGACCACAAGTCCAACTACAGCCGCAAAATTCTCACGAGGACGAGGGACTCGGCGGCAAAGCAATTCTGCGCTTTCCTCGTGCACTTCGAAGCGAACTTCGGCTTCCGCATTCACGTGCTGCTCACTGACGGCGGCGGCGAGTACGCGAACATCGACTTGTTTTGCAAGCGCTACGGGCGTCGCCAGGCAGATCTCGGAAGCCCGCAACCAGGCGTCGAACGGCAAGGCCGAACGAATTCATCGGACGATCCTCAACCTCGCACGCAGCATGATGTTTGCGTGCGCGCTGCCACTGAACTTTTGGGGCGACGCCGTACTCTACGCTGTCTACATTCTCAACCGCAGTCCGTCGCGAGCAAACGACAAGCGAGCGTCGCCACTCGAAGTACTCACCGGTGTGGCACCGGATCTACGAAAGATCGTGGTGTTTGAATCGCACTGTCACGTGTATAGCGACCCTGGCAAAAGCGCGTTGCAACAGAGCTCGCAGATCGGCACGATCGTCGGCATTGCAGAGGAGACAAAAGGCTACAAGGTCTACCTGCGCAAGGACAACAAGGTGATCGTGGTACAGCACATCAAAGTAATCGACATGCTCACGGAAAAGCGTAGCATGCAGGTGCAGCGCGCGATGACCGATAAAGGCGATGAAGAGATGGATGACACAGTGACGAAATCCGTTTAAACTCAAGCATTGGCCGAGGTGGAAGCAGCAGTGACGCGCTACTGTGTCGATGGCGCGGCTGGAGCGAAGAGCAAGAAGTCGTGGACGCGACAGGCTCACGGTTAGCGCGGATCATCAAAGCGCGCGCAAGATACAGCGCAACAGGAGGGACCATAAGCTAGCGGTGAGGTCGTAACCGTAGCGTACGAGTGCGATCCGACAAGCTATAGCGAGGCAATGAAAAGCGCGAAGCGGTGCGAATGGAAGCGCGCGATGGAGAAAGAAGTGGCCGCGTTACAAGACAATGACGTCTGGCGCTTCAAGAGGCGTGCGTCGGGCATGAATGCGCTGCACACCAAGTGGGTGTACAAGACGAAGCCGGACGCCCAAGGGAATTTGGAGCGGTACAAGGCTCGGCTAGTGGCTTGCGGCAACGAGCAAGACTTCGGTGTCAACTACAGCTTGACGTTTGCGGTAGTGATGGACTTGTCGACCGTCAAGGTTATCCTCGCGCTTGCGGCCACGTGGGGGGTGCCTACCAAGCACGGCGACACCCCCAACGCGTACGTTAAGGGGGAAAAGGAAGCTTGTCGAGGGTGCTGTGAAGGGTGGCGTAACTGGACTTGTGCAGGGAACAGTGCAAGGCATTACAGGTCCTGGCGTTGTCTTGTTCAAGGGTTTGACATCGACGTCTCACACACAGTTTCGTACTGGGCGTCCGATCCACAGTTGTGGATCGCTCGCTCCCCATTTGGCGGCCGCCGCCGAAATCCGAAGCGTGTGGAAAAGGGCCGACTGGTTGCTGAGTTTGACGAAACTCATTACAAACCAGCCCTTATGAATCTCGAGGTGCTTGGTGCGAACGGACTGAACTCGGACGAGTCGTGTGACCCTTTGTGCGTAGTGCGAATCGATGGTGTGGATGTAGTGAAAACGGCAGTGGTCTACAACACGGTGAACCCGGTGTGGCGAGAGAGCATGCAGCTCGCCCTAGCGGGCGGAGAGGACGGGGTGCAATTCGTGGTGAAGAACTCGTACGGTGGCACTGTAGCCAAGACAATCGGCAAATGCATTTTGATTATGGCGCAGCTGCAAGATGATTTCAAGCCGCCTGAGTACTCATCGGATCTTGCGCAATGGGTTCATACGCAGGTAAAACCCGGAAACACGAAGAAGAACGTAAGCCACGTCATTGACGAGAAGGATTATTCCTTGGTGATGCTGAACAGGAAAAAGTCGAAGAAGAAGAGCCATGCAGCGTTTCTGGGAGACGAGGCGCACCAGGACCTCGTAACGGTTGTGTCATTGAGAGACATGGTCGTCACTAGCTCGACTGGTAGCGGCATGCTTGGATTCGGCAACTTGGGCAGTAGCACGCCCAATATTTCGCCGTACATTTCTGTGCACGTAGGCAAGAATGCTAATCGTACGAACACCGCAAAAATGTCGTTCGTCAAGAATCAAAAGAAGGAGCAAGTGGACCACGCGTCGTGGGGAGAGAGCTTTACGTTTCCGCTGACAGCTAAGGAGCTCAGTCGTGGCGGTGCGGGCTCGAAGCTGACTTTTTCGCTGAAGGCCAAGAGTATGATTGTCGACGCAAGACTCGGGTCGGCATCTATGGACATTGACGCGAGGACTCATGCGACAGAAGAGATGGTACTAAAAGACGAGTCCAGCAAGCCGATAGGATACCTCACGGTGAAGGTAGAGGTCACTAGCTCAGCTACATCGTCTCGCTCGCTGTCGTTTCAATCGATCGAGTCCGTTGGCGATATGGCGTTCTTGCCGTCAGACGCAGTCAAGGCTGGCACCATCCGCGTATCGTGCAAGTTCGAGTAACAACAGCTCTATTGTGTGTCGGGTACCTCGACGTTATATCATACACATCGGCGGGATGAATCTAAAAACTGAACAAGTAACGGCAGCGCATCGGATCGCACTTCTAGATATCGTCTCCCACCACTCTTGACTGTGTTCAACTCGATTGGGACCGGCCATCACGCGCCCTCCGCGCTTCTTCATGTGCTGGCGGGGTCTTTCCACGTTACTTGGTGTGCTATTTGGCCACACGAACGTCCTTGGGAAGGACACCTCTGTTCCTGTCTGGCAACCTGCAGTTTCTACCTTGACCACCGCGGACCCTTACGCCATGACGCTTCAAGTCCTCCAGGTATATCCAGTTTGTGGATTTGTTACAAAAGTTGTACGAGCAACTACCGTGACTTACTTCGAAATGGTCGTACATGATATTCGTAGTACAATTTGTTCGGCCGGCCGTACGAAGTCTCAAAAGATGGACAGCGCGAGCGACTGCAGCGGGTCCCTGAGTCACTTGATCGGATTTCCCAATCGATTGACGTCGTGACGTTAGCCGAGGCCGACATTCAGACGCAGCGGGACGACATGCTCGCGCAATTCCAAAAGTTTGGTTTTCATCATGTCACGTCGATTTTGCACGACCCGGACCCGTTTACCAGTTTATTGAACGGTGGAGTGATGATAGTTTCCAAGTGGCCCATTGTCCGAGAGGCACAACATGTGTACCGTAATGCTTGTCACTACTCGGACTGTCTTGCGGCAAAAGGCGTCAAGTATGCTCGCATACTGAAGACCGTAGATGGTGTATTCAAGATATTCAACGTGTTCGCAACGCATATGCAGGTAGAGAGTATGTTGGATTTGGTGCTGCGAATCGAAAAGACACTGCATGTTATACTGTGGGGCATGATGGACTGTAGGCTTGGTCGACGCTCGAAGGACGGTCTGACCGGATCGAGCAAGCTAAGCAGGTATGTTCATGCCCGACGTGGATCCATGGGCACGCCGCATAATCTCGATGTGTTCTCACAGATGCGCCAATTTATCGATGCTATTGGCATTCCGCATCACGAGGTAGGACAGCAAGCGTTGTAGTACACACAATGCACCGCGTGACTAATGTCGAATTCGTGGTTTCTGATTGCCATGGACTTGAACGTAGCCTTTGCTTCTTGCCGAGGACTTTAACGTGGACAACCATACGTTTGGAAGTGAAGTGGCATATCTGGTGGAACTGCTTCAAGCACACGAGCCTCGTCGGATCGGCGAACAGAACTTTACTAGCGAGTGCGTCGTGCGTTATTTGTTGCAATGCTTTCTGTGTAGGCTCACTTCCCATGTCACGTTGTGTCGAATACAGCCCACACACGAACGTACTGGTTGGGCGCGACGGGGCTGCGATCAGTAGCAAGTGCTTTGCGCAATATGTTCACAATTGGGGGCCGGCAAAGGTTTGTCGTCAAAATTGCTATGTTTCGACTGCTTACACTTAGCACTTGTCAATCGAATTGGTGGACTACAAACAGGACGGCGTTTACCATCCGTCATTGCTTACCCGATCAACTTGCATGGTGCATGCTGTCATGGACGAGGCTAGTTGGCTTGTGCATGCTGAGCTAGACGATATGTGCTATTGCCCGTGCTGTCCACTAGAGTGGCTAGACTACACCCTGTATGGCAGAGGTACCACAGCTGTATCGTCATTTGCGCTTGTCTGATCTGTTGGAAACTGGATGCAAGTCAACGGTGGACAATGAAGTAAAGGGTGGCGGTTGACAATACCTTTTACAGGGAAGGTTTTATCTGGAAGGTATAGTTGACAATACCTTTTACAGGGAAGGTTTATCTGGAAGGTATTTCGTAGAAGATTCCTCCTGACATGAAGACATGCATTGAGTAGACTCAGTCCAAAAGTTTCCCTCCAGTAAACAAGTTGTTTGTGAGTGCGTAGCCATTGTTTCCCTTTATCCATACTCTATTAGGGTTATGAGCCCAAGGACGACCTGCTATTAAGAGAAGCGCTAAACAAGACTACACTACAACAACTATACCATGTATTCCTCATCGGACTCTGAGGACGGCAAGAGAAAAAGACACAAGGAGATTAAGTTGGGATCGCAAGGCACTCCAGTTAATTGGAATGGAGAAGACTGGACCTTCTACAAGCACGCGATGCTCAACGCATTCGAGCAAAACCTACTCGATGAGATCGCAGCAGGAGGCGTTGTGGAGGACGCATCCTGGAATCAAGCCAAGAAGGACAAGTTCAAGAAGAGTCAAGCCGAGGTGAAGATTCTTATTCAAGGCTCGTTGTCGATGAAGCTGGCCAAGCAGGTGATGTCGAAGAAGACAGGAACCGAGATGTGGCACGAGCTCTGCTCAATTTTTGAAGGGAAGCAAAACTCAGCCATGATAGCGCAGAAAGTGTACCGCCTCCAAAGCGAGCTACACAGGACCCATTTGCGTCCAAATGGTGACGTGAGAAGTCATTTGTACACTTTGTTCGACATCAAAGACCAGCTCGAGGACTTGAATTCTCCTGTAAATGATTTACAGATGGTGGACATGATGCTGCGCAGTCTCCCGACGCAGATGTGCTATAATGAACTCAGAAGAAAGGTATTATTTAGCTCAAATATGAGTAAATATACGCCTGAGATAGTTCGCGAGATGATATTCACCGCCGAGTCGCGCAGTAAAGACTGGGAAAGCTATGCATTCGGGAGCGCTCAAGGCAAGAAGAAGCCAAATGGTCCAACTACTGGAACGAGAGGTGGCATGAGGCAAACCTTGAGAGACGATAAGACGAGAAAAATCAAGAATCATGATTTTGAGTGTCATCATTGTGGAGGTAAAGGCCATTACAAGAGAAATTGTCCACAATTGATGAATGAAGAGAAGTCGCGTGGAAGAAAAAGTGCTCACGCAAAGTACGCCAACTCTGGTAGCAAGACGAAAATGGAAGAGAAGGGCGAGCCTTTATTGCAACGCAAGGTGCAAGCAGATAAGCGTGACGTGGTGATAGGAGAAGCTACAAAGTTGACGTCAAAGGATTCAACTTCTAGCAACTGGTATTTCGACACGGGTACAAATGCCCACATAGTGTCCTCCAAGGAATACTTTACTGTACTACAGAGTATGGAAGACAGTGACTGGAATCCAATGATATCCGGATTCACACTCAATGGAGCGAAAGCAAAAGCTGAAGGATTTGGTACGATTATTCTTGCAACAGTTGTTGATGAAGAATTGGTAACAGTGTTCGTGGAAGACGTTCTCTACGTCCCTCAAGCTGGATGCAATTTGTTTTCGCCTGGTTTGGCTATGGACCAAGGATTCAGCATGTCATGGGACCCGAATGCTAAGATATTTACTATGACGAAAGACGATATCGAGGTGATACGGACACATCGGAAGCACCGCCTATGGACGTTTACTGCTCAAAATGCAAATAATACTGCACAGCACAAGAAAAACATTACCACGAAGCGACAAGTTATTGCTAACTTTGCAGTGACTGATGGTGTGGAAGATATCGATGTCTGGCATGAACGACTGGCACACACGTGTCCAGAATATATCCGGTTGATGGTTGATCGTGGCCTGGCAAAAGGTATCATGCTAAAGAGACGTGGGAAATTCGATTGTGTAGACTGTCATGTTGGTAAACAGCGGCGAAAGTCATTTCGAAAGGCGTTAGATAGAAATATCGCGAACGTTAATGACATTGTTTTTGCCGATTTGCTGATACCAGGAATAGGCAATGGATCCCCATATACCGCCGTCCTAGTCGTTATGGATGGATACTCACGTTACGTCAGTGTCTTCATGCTCAAGTCTAAGTCTGAGAATGAAGTCAACAAATTCATGCAGGAATATATTGCTTGGGCTGAACGACAAGTTGGCAAGAGGGTTGAGGCTGTGATTACTCATCAGTTGAGTGAAGATTCTCAACGAAGCCAAGGAGCTCTCGTGAGGCAAGTCCTTACAGACAAAGGGCAGGAATTTTGCAATGGTACAATGGCACAGTGGTATCAAGAAAGGGGCATAGTGCATACAAGAGTCGGCCCCAAAGCGTCCCAACTAAATTTAGTTGAGCGCACACACCAGACATTGATTGGAATGGTGAAGACCATGATGCACCAGTCTGGATTACCTAAATCATTTTGGGTGCATGCATTAGTAACAGCTGCCTACATCAAAAACAGAGTGTATTGCAAAGGGGCAGGACGCACTCCGTATGAGTTGATGTTTGGTTCGAGACCGGACGTTCATCACATCCGGGCGTTTGGGTCACTCACTTATTGTCACACGCCAAGAGAGAAACGGAAAAAGCTGAGCATGAATTGCCGAGTGGGATTCCTCATTGGATATCACGAGAACATTGTTGGTTGTCATGTGTACTTCCCAACAGAGCACATGAAAGGATATGTGTCAGATGTCAAGATAAATGAGGCTATAAAGTATAAGGATCGTTTCGACAGTGGATATACATCAAAAGTCAGACGGTGGCTCCAGACACTAAGTGAATACGCTGAGGAGGGCGCATTTAATGATTCTAGTTCTGAAGAATCCGAGGTGTCACATCTGACTGACATTGTAGCAAGCATGGATTGTAATAGCAGTACCATTCAGATGGAGACTGCTGAATCCGATCCCGACACTCTAAATGAGGCAGACCAAACCTTGTGGAATGACATGCTACGCAATAGTATTTTACCAGAAGTGGTCCAGACACAAGGACAAACCAGCGAACAATATTTCAGTGCGAGCAGTAGCGACAAAGAAGAAGGTCAGGAGAGCGAATCTGGTGAAACGCAGGGGGGAGAGCTAGAACCCAGTGACAGCGTTTCTCAAGAACTATCTGAACATGCTACGCCGGGGGAAGAGTTAGCACCCAGTGACAGCGTTTCTCAAGAACTTTCAGAAGATGCATCGGATCCTCCAGCTGATTCTACAGCACATTATCGCGCCGAATATTGTGACTCTGTTCCAGATAGCAACAAAGCAGTTGCAAATGACTCGGATATTTATGACGACGATAAAGACGATGCGGAATCCGGACTTGAGTCGCACAATGACGAGGAAACAGCTGACGATGATAACGCTGATGATGATACAGACGCAGATGATGATACAGCTTCAGGTGAAGAGAGACTGCTCACTGATACTGGACATATAACAGACCCTGAAGTGACTCGAAATGAATCTGTCTATGCTGCAAGTGACTACAATTATGATTGTTTATTCGATCCTTTATTCGATCCAAGCGACATGTTGGAGGCTGTGAACGGCACCACGACGTTGACCATTGCCAATGATCAGCTGATCGGCCACAGAAGACCCAGAGATGTCGAAGTCAGGCGAAGTAGAGAGCACAAAAGAATAAAAGAGGATCACAAAAGAGCAAAGATCACTCCGCGTCTACCCATATTGAGAAAGAATGATCAGCAATGTATACTGAACCAGCGCGAAGATTTCACGGTTAACGCTGCATTCAGAACACCAAAGAACGTTGAAAGCGAAGCGTACGGTAATCGCGCAAGTGATATTCGGACACCAAAGAACTTTCGTCAGGCGATGTGCTCGAAATATGCAACCCAGTGGAAAGCAGCTATGGACGAAGAATTGGAAGCAATGAAGTCCAAGGGAGTGATCACATTAATTTCGAAACGAGAGATGCCTGAAGACACTAAAGCGATCAAGACAATGTGGGTCTATAGTGTTAAAACGGACCACTTAGGCAACGTTATCCGTCTTCGAGCAAGAATTGTGGCTCGAGGTGACAAACAACGCCCAGGAATTGACTATGGAGAAACCTTCAGTCCTGTAGCACGTATGGCGACTTTCAGGATGTTCGTGGCCACTTGTCTATTGATGGACTTGACCATTTACCAGGGTGATATCAACACGGCCTACCTGAATGCACCCTTGGGGATCAAGCAGTACTTGGACTCTCTAGATGGATATCCTTCTGAAACTGACGACATGGTATATGTTGTTCACAAGGCACTGTATGGTCTTAAACAGTCTGGTCGAGAGTGGAACACCGAAGTAAATGCGTGGTTTTTACGGTATGGGTTTAAGCGTTGCACTACAGAACCGTGTCTGTATTACTACGATTCAGGTTCTGAGTTCGTATTGGCACTACTCTACGTGGATGACATTCTGTGTGCAACCAAGAATGAATTGTTCAAGACGAAAATGTTTCGGAGTCTGGACGAGGTCTATGGAATGAAGGATCAAGGTCTACTTAGCACTTATTTGGGTGTTCAAGTAGAGAGAAGCGATGATGCGATTAAAATTCACCAGACGAAATACTGCGAAGACGTTATCAATCGTTTTAACTTTGGAGATGCGCACGCTAGCAGAATTCCGATGGAAACAAACATACGACTTGCTGTAAACGATACGGATACCGCGAGGGCCAAACGCATACCTGACAATGGCAAAGAATTTCCATATCGTGAGCTAATTGGCTCATTGATGTATCTGGCAACATGTACGAGGCCAGATCTTGCGTATGTGGTCGGGCAGCTTAGTAGATACGTGCAAAGCCCAACACAACAACACATTGGCGCGGCCAAGAGAGTGTTAAGGTATCTGGTGGGTTCCAAGACTCATGGAATTGTGTTCCACGCAAACAATGATGGAAAATTAAGAAGTGATTTAACCGTTGAGGGATTTTGCGATGCGGACTGGGGAAACGACCCAGACACGAGGAAAAGCATTACTGGATATGTACATTGCTTGGCAGGAGGTGCGATATCGTGGGCGTCACGACGGCAGAGTATCGTGGCTCAATCTACGGCTGAGGCCGAATATGTAGCAGCTTGCGAGGCCTGTATGGAAGGGAGGGGTCTCATTCAGGTTCTAATCGAGATATTCCCAAGGTTGGTGTCGAAGTTTCGTCTCGGGATTGACAATCAAGCTGCCTTTGTGATGGCTACAAACCCGACCTACAGTCGCAGAACACGACACATTGAACTACGCTGGCACTACGTTCGAGATCAGTATGTGAAGAAAGCAGTAGAACTGTGGAAGGTAAAGACAGACGTGAATCCCTCAGACTTGATGACCAAGCCCCTGGCGAGTGCGCGTTTTGAGGCACTTATCACCATGATAGGGATGACCAAGAACGTTTTGCCGCAGTAACTACTGACGGAGGAGGGCGTGTTGGAAACTGGATGCAAGTCAACGGTGGACAATGAAGTAAAGGGTGGCGGTTGACAATACCTTTTACAGGGAAGGTTTTATCTGGAAGGTATAGTTGACAATACCTTTTACAGGGAAGGTTTATCTGGAAGGTATTTCGTAGAAGATTCCTCCTGACATGAAGACATGCATTGAGTAGACTCAGTCCAAAAGTTTCCCTCCAGTAAACAAGTTGTTTGTGAGTGCGTAGCCATTGTTTCCCTTTATCCATACTCTATTAGTTGTGTCGAATACAGCCCACACACGAACGTACTGGTTGGGCGCGACGGGGCTGCGATCAGTAGCAAGTGCTTTGCGCAATATGTTCACAATTGGGGTCCGGCAAAGGTTTGTCGTCAAAATTGCTATGTTTCGACTGCTTACACTTAGCACTTGTCAATCGAATTGGTGGACTACAAACAGGACGGCGTTTACCATCCGTCATTGCTTACCCGATCAACTTGCATGGTGCATGCTGTCATGGGGGAGGCTAGTTGGCTTGTGCATGCTGAGCTAGACGATATGTGCTATTGCCCGTGCTGTCCACTAGAGTGGCTAGACTACACCCTGTATGGCAGAGGTACCACAGCTGTATCGTCATTTGCGCTTGTCTGATCACTGATGTATAATTTGAGCGCTAAACACTACAGACCCTTATCAGCAGCCCAGCACCATGCCAACGATTGAAGCTTACGCGAATCAAGTCTCACGTTTCACAGTCGATTGGACTGCCTCCGAAAGCAGCATGAAAATGGCCTTGGTCGATCTCTTCGACCATTACCCGGTTCTTGGAAAGCATGAGTTCCCAGTGACCCGTGGGAAAGGAAAAGATGATGATCCGATGACGTATCACTTGGACGGGTGCTCGACGGACGATGATTGCCACTTCCGTAGTTTCCGCTGCTACTGCAACGGCCGGAACTGCTATTACGAGGGCAATTACACCAACGGATGGAATTTGGACTCGACACACCCGGTCAACCGCAATTGCTTGTATCAAAAGACCTCCTTTCGGTGCTTATGCGGACCAACATAATCTGACGGACGGCATGGAAGGTCTAGCACACGCATGCGAGCTTGAAGACTTGGGTCCATGGTACACTTGCAAACGAAGCAAATAGTTCCTTCAATTCCATTCTTTTGCCTTCAGACAGAGCTTCATGCGTGTGTGCACAGAGGGGTGTCGAATGAGTCGTTGCCGGTGTTCCAATGAACGATAGTTTAGGTGGACCATCGTGAAAGCGGTTGTCGTAGACAGAAAGCTTCTTGTCCTACACTAAAAGAAGCCTGAAGCCTCCGCACGATGATAGCATGGTGTTCAGTTGTGGACCAACGAAGGTCACTATAGCAGACCCCGTTGTCTAAAATGCAAGTGGTCAAGTGTCAGACCGCCTACTTCCCAACTGAAGAATCTCATGTTCCACTCGCCTCAGTTGTCCTGAGATTTCAGGAATCGACAACGCAAAGACGCCGCGATAACATCATCAAGGAGAAGAAGAAGGAGAAGTAGCAAAACAAGGAGGAGGTGACGAAGAAGCGGAACCGGACGCAAGAAGATGGAAAGAAGGCCTTTTGTACTTTCGAGACGCTGCTGTCATAAGCGTTCAGCAAGATCAAGAGCTCGTGTTCAAGAGGTGGTTTCAACTACGTTCGTCTCGATGACGACCGTCCAGTCATACAGAGACGCGCGGATGCAACTTTAGCCGTCGTCGGCGTCGCTTTCATTATAAAATGAGCAGATGCTGTCATCAATCACGACAGCTTCTTTTGCTTGGGACAAAGAAACAAACGTGGTCGTACGTGACGGCCTCATTGATTCAGTTATATCATAGTTGGAGAAAAGCAGCGGGAAGTCTAAGGCCCGGCAGAAATACATACGAGATCTGCACCCTTGACTCGTCCAGAAGCTACTAACTGAGCCTCGAAAAAAGGAGAGCGAGGGGTTGTGCTCGGCGTCAAAGATTGTATGTAGCATAGCTAAGGAACACCAGAGTACAAACTGACCTGACAGCTTACCGTGCAGCAAGACCAAATAACCTCTCCAGCCTCCTTGACTCACATCAAGAAGTAGTGACCGGTTTAACAACGTGTGTCTCGATCCAGTAAATACAGTCAAAGATTGCGTGCGCTTTGCACTCGTGTGCTATCTGTCGAACTGGAGATCTTGGAAGCTTTTCGTTCATGATATCAGGCTATGAAGCTCTCCTTGAGCCTCACTAGGAAGACTTTTTACCTTTTTCGCATTCGAGTTAGCAGTACAACACGCTCTTTACCTTCTTTTGGATCGTGGCGCAAGAATCTCGAGGCAAGGCTCAATATGCGCTTGTTGGTGCTCGGAGAACCTCCGGTCGAAACACTGACGACCCACGCAGAGCTATGCTTGCAATTGACGTTTTATGACCGGGTGTTATCGTTGCTTCTGTTCTCTTACCACATGCGATCGAATTTGGTCTGTCAGCAGACTTACTTTGTGACATATGGCAAAACAGCGCTCCGATCGCAAAGTGTTGTTCTTGGCGAATGCAACGTCTACTCAACAAAAAAATAAGGCCCCGAGGCCCGTGTTTACCCAAAGTACGTACGCAGTAGCAAAAATGCTGCGGACAATTAGTACAGCACCTCGGAATAGACCAACTTGCACCTCCTTTGCATAAACAGTGAACAGCAGTCGGCTCTACTGCTGCCACACTTGTGATTTATACGCAAAGCGCAAGTGACTAAATTAAACGTCGCGCCGCATGAGCAATAAGGCCCGCGCGAGCTCCGCAAAGGAGCGCAGCGTGTTTGGTACGTCCGTCACCTGCCATGCGCTACTCCGTCTCCATGCGCTCTTTGCTATAACAGTAGCTCCTGCTTCTTTTTCGCTACTTTTTGCACGGCCCGATATTTTATCGATGAATTAACACTCCCCCCTCTTTGTTGGCATGTTATTTTTACTTTATTTTTTATTTTTGCCCCGTCTTTTGTGCAGTCGGAAATATTCCATACGATGTGACCGAGGAAATGCTCAAGGAAATTTTCTCGGAGGCTGGGTCGGTCGTAAACTTTCGGTACGTGGGGGCTACGACACGGCTCGCTTTAAAATGGGAGGAGGGCGCTGTGCGGTATTTAGATTTGTTTTTTTCCTCTGGTTGTGCTTTTACATAAAACCGCGTACACTGTGGCAGTCTTGTGACGGACCGAGAGACAGGAAAGCCGAAAGGCTATGGCTTTTGCGAGTATGCCGACGGCGCCACAGCTCTTAGTGCCATGCGGAACCTCAATGGGTACGAGATCAATGGACGCAATCTCCGGGTGGACTTTGCAGATGGCGGGGATAAGTCTGGCGGATCTGAGCGAAAACGTCAGGATACTGGAGGCTACACTCGGTTTGGAGGAGCGAGCAGCAGCCATTTTCGAAACGACGGCGGGCATCCAACGATGGTGACTGGAGAAATGGCGATCCATGCAATCGAGTCGGCTATATCTCGGCTGGGACCAGTCAAGTTGTATGACATGCTGGTGCAGCTGAAGGAGCATGCAAGGCAGAAGCCAGAGGTGACAAAGAGCATCATGATGGCAAACCCAGCGCTCACACATGCAATCGTGCAGAGTTTCAAGAACCTGCAGATTTCCATTCCTTCTTCGACTGAGACCCAACCAGTGTTGCATGCCCCTCCTTCCATGATGCAACAACCGCCGCCAATGACAGGAAGGATGATGCCGCCTCCACTACGGCCACCCATGAGCGGGTCTGCGGCATCTGGCTCGGGTATTCTGGGTATGGCCCCACCTAGTGTTCCGTCGGCAACACCAGGAGCATTTGCTAAAGCCGGTGGCACGCGATGGAGTGCACGACCAGGACCCTTGGCTTCCCAGGCGACGAGTGCCGCTATGGCGAATAGACCAGCCCCTGCTTCTAGCCTGATGCACACCCAGCCCCACTCTGGTCTAATGCCCACACCGACTGTGCCGGCACAATCGAGTGGGCCCCCCAGCAGTAACCTGGCACATGCCAGTCGCGACCCCCGTCGAGCAGGAAGAGGGGATCCGCGTGCAGCCAAGAGACCACATCCCGCCGACCAAGGATCAGTGCCGTCAACTCAAGGAGCCAACGACGCTCTGAAGCGCGTCAAGCCGAGTGGTGGGGGCGGTGATAGCGTCTCGTCTGGTCAGTTCGACGCCATCGCTGAACTCGCGCGCAACACGACCCCGCAAAACTTGGACATGCTGCCACCAAACGAGCGGCAGATGCTGCTGGCGTTCATGCAGCAGAATAATATTCCATTTTGAACGGGACATCGTGACAATGGCGGTGATTGACTGCTTCCTGGTCGTCTGCGTCCTGGCGCAAGTCATTTCTTGAGAACACAATGTGATTGCTACCGTTGCAGTCGACAGAGACGTTAGCTACAACATGTGCGCCAGAATGCCAACCAACTGACCGCAGCAAGGACCATTCTTGACGCACAACAAAGTATATGAAGGCTTTTTCGTCAAGAAAAGCACAGAGGCGACGGCTGCTATAAATCTCTACTTCTTCAGCGTCGTACGTACCCCACAACTGTCACTCATTCATCGTCGACGCTTCGTACGCTGATTCGTGCGTTGAGTTTTGCCAGCACGGTTGCCTCCTTTTGGCGCCACCGGACCCTTGGCCTTGCCCTTCCGCGCACCTGAGAAGCCCGGGATATCGTTCGTGCTCTCCTTTGTGTTACTCTTGGCATAGCGACGTTTGCCACCAAAGCCAAACTTTGCGTCTTTGGCTTCTCGAGTCTTGTTGGTCCGCTGCTTTTTGCTCTTCTGGTCACGGTCTCCATCCGTGTGCTTTCGCTTGCCACTCGCAATAATCGAGTCGAGCTTTCCATCGTCACCATCCTTGAGGTCGCTGCGTGTGTTGTTTCCCTTCCTCTTTTTCCACAGTTTCACGGCCTCCAGTGTCTCCTTTTTCTGCTGGTTCCGTTCCTTGATCTTCTTAGCCTGCACCTCTTTCGCAACCTGTCGATGCGCCTGTGATTTCTTGCGCTCTTCAACTGCCGTAATCTTCTTCTGCTCATAAATGAGCTTGTCCTTGACTTTGGCCATGTGCGCGTCGCTCTTGAGCATCTCGGCGAAATAGTCGTCCGCTCGCTTGTAAGCCACGCCATCCTGCTTCAGTCGGTCCTTGGCCACCCGCACCATAGCAATCGTGTTGTTGTAAAATGCGACTTCCAGCTACAGTTCGTCGTGCATGTTCTCGAGCTCCAAAGGCGCTGTACACGTATCCAGCGTCTCGATCCACGGCAGCTGCTTGACGTCCCACTCCTGCACCAGCGACAGCAGCGCTTCGGTATTGTACACGCGCTTGCTCTCCTGCACCGTTGCGGTACTCTTGTTCCTCGCTGCGTCTACCTGCAATTGAGCTTCGGCCACAAGCTGACGCTCAATGGCAGATTCAGCTTCGACGTTCTCGTCGTCGCTCTCGCTCTCGTGAGCACTATTCACGACCGCAACGGACCTAAGTTTTTTCAGAATAACGACGCGTCCGCTCTCTAGCTTTATGCGCGCCGGAGTTCTCCAACTTAGCAGTCGACTCTTCGCTGCTGGTTGTACCAGTACTTTCGCACTGTGATGATAGTTGTGGACTAAGAAATATATCGGCGTGTTAACCACTGCCACCGACATCCATCGTTTCCTCTCACTATCTTGCATCTTCCTATGGACCTGGCATCATCATCGGCTACTAGAGCAATACATGTGGTTGACATGATCACGCGTGATCAGTATCACGATAGGTGTTGGCGACAGCAACGGTTAACCTCAGCGAACACTCCTCCTGACCGTGATGAGCTACTCACCTTGTAACTCGCGCCTTCATCCTTAAGTTGGCATCTTAGCCCCTCAAATGTTTGACGAGGGAGTGGCTTGGTCAGAATATCTGCAATCTGGTCCTTGCTGGCACACCATTTCACACTCTCGCGTCCTTTGCTAGTTTCATCCTTGATGAAGTGGTATCTAAAAGCAATGCGCTTTGCAGCGGCTGACACCATCTCGTTTTTCATCGTTCGTATCGCGCTTTGGTTGTCAACCATGATACTAGGGACACTTTCGATGTGAAGCAGCTCTTGAATAAGCTGCCTAATCCATCCACATTCAGACATTTGTCGCACCGGCGATAAACTCTGCTTCCGTAGTGGACAGCGCAACAACAGCTTGCTTCTTCGAACTCCACGCTATTTGGCCGCCCATTTACCGCAAGGTAGGCGCCGCTCGTTGATTTTCGGTCGACTCGATCACCGGCCCAATCAGCATCGGACCAAATGTTGACCTCGAGGTTTTCAACTCAAACAGCCTGGCTTGCCTTCCAGTAGCGCAAATTACGACCCGATGTGCCCTTGAGACAGCGAAAGATCCGTTTAATCAGCTCCCAATGGCACTTACGAGGCTTCACGCGGTGTCTTGACGCAAAATTTGTAGCATACGCTATTTCCAAGCGAGTAGAATTTGCAATCCAAAGAAGGGTACCAAGAGAAGAGGTTTCTCAATGCCATGGGGTAGAAAACGAAGCCGAATTGTAGCATCGCCAACTCGGACACGTGTCTTACTCGACCGTGAACAAGATGAGTAAAGACGGCTTCATCGAAGGACAATGCATGGACCCAAAAGTCGTATTTAATATTTGTGCGACAGCCAAGCAAGTACGCACGACATTTAACAACATTGGGCCGACACATCGACGAGAAAGAGTCGCCGTCTAGATTCGATCGTATGCTCGAATGTTCTGGGACCAATTACATTAGCACCAAGGTCAGACTATCGCTACGTCGCGACAATTCATGATGATGAATAGCCGCTATGCGATGGTCGATCCGATACGCAAGAAGAGCGATGCCATCAAAGCGTTTTAAAAGTGCTGTCACGATGTCAAGGTCGGATGCGGTTTGGACGTGACGGTACTACGCAGTAATAACGGTGGTGAGTACCGAGATAACGAGATGACTCGATTCTGCCGGCAAAAGATGATCAAGCATGATTTCACTGTGCCATATAACCCGGAGCAGAATGGCATGGCGGAGCAACTAAATCGCACACTGGTCGAGCGATGTAGGCACACTAGTTATTCACTGTTAGTACCATTATAGTCGGTGTTGGAGTCCATTGGAGTCGTCACAGTTTTGACATGTTCAAGATTGAACGCGCGGAGTGCATCACATATCATGCTCTCCTGAGATAAAAATACAACTTTGCGGGGTCTCGTGCACTGCGATACCAAGAAATTTCTTCACTGGTTCGAGCATCTTGATGCTGAAGCGTTCTTTCAGCCTAAGTGTAACATCGCGCAGGTCCTCCTCGTCATGAAACGCTATCAGCACATCATCCACGTGAAGTCCAAGTAACATCACCCGCTCCTTTAGTCCGCGCTCGAATAGATGCACGGGTCGAGTCTTGACTTAATAACCAAGTACGATGATGTACTCTGGCATCGTCTCATTCCAGCATCTACTCGACTGTTTAAGTCCATACAATGGCTTACGCAGCTTGAGTACCTTGCCCGCCTCGACGTCTAGCTTTCTGACTGCCTTCATGTAGATCTGTTCGCGCAGCTAACCCTTCACGTAGGCATTTGGAACGTCGCCTTAAGTCAGTCGTAGTCCGAGCAAGCTTGATAGTGCAAGAAATAGACGCACACTGCTCATTTTGATGACCGGTCCTAATGTCTCCGAGCCATCAACGCCGTACTTATGGCGATATACTCGAGCAACAAATCTTGCTCTAAAGCGCTTAATGTCGCCATCGGCATCAAAAATGATTTTAAAAACCCATTATCTGTCGACGATGTTTGTACTCTTGTTTGGTTCGTTGACAACCTCCCAAGTGCCATTTTCGACGAGTGTATCGAGCTATGCCTGTATCGCATCGATCCAGTTCTGTCTTTCAGGAAGAGTCATGGCTTCTTTGACGTAACTTGCCTCTTTGATTCGCACAACTACAGTTGCGGCACCGTCGGCATATCGAGCAGGCACGTTGACACGACGACACTCGCGTCGTTCTGCCGGCAATTGATTTCCACCAGTGGCGACTCGGAATGCTCTCTGCGTCAGATATGTTGTGAATGAGTACATCATCTTAAGCACGTACATCCTTGTCGATACCCTTCTCGGCCGATTTAATCGACTGAACATGCTGCGATACCAAAATCTATTTAGTGTGTTTGACGAACACGCGATGTCCCTTGACCTTGTTATCATATCCGAGAATATGTCGTGCTCGCACTTCTTCCGTGTACCATGGAATTACGCTTGACATGAACCGTGACCTTTTGTCCACACTTAAGTATGCTACCAATGTTGGGCTTGTGTCCAGTGAGAGCTTCAATTGGCGACTTGTTCCCGCCATTTGCGCGTGTCGGGAGTCCGTTTTGTAACCATGACTGATGTCGTAGTGCTTCCGACCATAGGAAGCGAGGAGCCTTAGCAGCATCAAACATCATAGCCCGCATGCCGTCAAACAAAGTCCTGTGGCGCCTCTCCATCTTTCTGTTTGAAGACGATTCGTCTGATTCCGCTAGTTGCTGTCGGATTACCGCGTTTTGCACACCACGACATGATCTTGTTTGTGTCAAATTTATTGTCACTCCGGATGACCTTCACTCGCACGCCTTATGTCGCTCGAATCTTGTGAAAAATTCTGTCAACAAAGGAAACCAGTCGGAGTTAGCACGCATTGGAAATACTTCTTCATAGCTAGACGCATACTCGACGACATGCAAAGAGTGAGAACAGCCTTTTCAATCGTACGGCTTGGCATATTTCTTGGTATCAATACCAATTACGGCGCCAATCTAATTCGTTAGTGCGGATTTGGAAGTGTCTGTTTGCGCTTAAGCGCTTCTTGTTTGCTTACACTCGCGACATGCATCAATGTCACTTCGCTCCTTGTCAGTGATGTGTAGACCATCAGCAAGGTCATGATTTTCAATCATCGCTCCATCGTCAACGTTTACATGGCCAACTCGAGCATGCCATTCCGTGATGCTGTCGTTAGCTTTCGCTGCGACACTCGCAACAGCTGACGTGATTGCATGCCCATTAAAGTAGCAAAGTCTAATGTTTCACGTCCCACGGCCAGCATAATATCTGAATCCCATGTCGTCAAACTTGTACAGTCGTGCGCCTTGATTAGAAAATGAGGTGTGAATACCATTCTTTGCAATTTGACCAATTGATAGCAGGTTTTTGCGCAGCCCTGAAACCACGTGCACGTCTTGCAAAATAATTTTGGTTTGCATTCCATTGACATTTATCTCCATCACGATGTGGCCACACGTGGTAGACTGGATGGTACGACCATCTGCGACAGTCACGGACAGATTGCATGCGTACTCTGTTGCTGCGCGAATCCGGTACCGCATATGTGGTGAATAACTCCTGGGCCCACCAAACATTTCCGTTCATCACGGATGCCTCTGAATGCTGCCCATCATGATGCGTACTGACAGCTCTCATCATCAGTATTGTTGATTTCGAGAGATGTCCTGACCACATTGGCTGAGCCTGTTGACCTTTTCTTCTTCTCCAGAAACTTCTTCTTGAGTGGGCATGCTGTAGCAATGTGTCCCTCATCCTCACAGAAGAAACACACACGCTTATAATACTTCTGGGATCCTCCTGCGCTTAATTCGTCACCATCTTCATGCCTTGACTTCCATTATTTCTTCTTGAACTTCGGTTTGTTTCATTCAGCACGGTCGTACAGGTTTGTCTCTTTCAGCAAGGTCGTACAGGTTCATATTCTCCTTTGGCTTACAGCTGAGCCCCTTTCCGTTCCCTGTAATGGATATCAGGTATCGAATAGATTTCTCGAGCTCGATCCCGTACTCCAATCTGTCTTGATCATTCCTCGCCAGCAAGCTTCTCTTCTCTGATGAGCAAGAGTATGAGCAGAAGTATTCAAGGATAATCTTTCTCGGGTTGCCATCAATACGGATCGCCACAGATCTCATGTAATCGATATGAGATGTTCGCAACGCGTTGGTCATCTTGAGTGCTCTAAATAGCTTTCCCAGTTTAGACTGGATTAGCTTACAGCTATACCGGTTCATCATGAACCTGCAGACACTGCCGTAGTTGGCAGTAAGTCCTCGATCCGCGAGGTACTTGAAATGCCCAAAAGCTGCACCGCAAAAGTACATCGCCATAGCA